ATGTATGTATGTATGTATGTGTGTATGTATGTATGTGTTTGTATGTATGTATGTATGTATGTATGTATGTATGTATGTGTGTATGTATGTATTCATGTATGTATGCATGTATGTATGTATGTACGTATGTACGTATGTATGTGTTTGTGTATATGTGTATGTATGTAGGTGTACATAACGACACATCAACATCCAGATATTGAAAGCAACAGTCGGGCCGGACCTTTGAGAGAATGCCTGCCCGTGCCGTTCCCTGCTCTTCTGCCCTCGAGTCCCTGGAGCTGAACTTTGCGCTGCGGACCCTCAGCCTGCACAGCTGCGGGCTCTCGGGGGCGCGCAAACAGGCATTCGCGATCCATGGACTTGGCGCGCGGTCGCCAAAATTCCATGGATCGGGGGAGGTGCCCTCCCCAAAATGCGGCAGGTGCCGCCTCACTCGGCGGGGGAAATCCGCGATCTCCCATGGAAACGGGCCCCGTCGCTAATCCACGCTCGCTTGATCCACGTTTGCGATCGCCCGAGGCTCGGCGACCTAGGCGCCCAGTACATCGCGAGGTCGCTGTCGAGGGCCAGCAGCCTGCGCGAGCTGTCCCTCGGCCACAACGGGATCCGGGACCGTGGCGCGGCGGCGCTCGGCCAGATGCTGGTGGCCAACCGGACGCTGAGGCCAGGTGTAGGTCGGGCGTGTCCCTCTACAGGAGGAATACAGTGGGGGCGTGCATCAAGAAGCCATACGCTTTTCGTCAGGGTATCCTGGGTTTCTTCGCTCCGCGCGCTGCGCGGTGACTTCCCGCAGCAGTTGAAGAAGCTGCTGCGTTCAGCGTGCTCCAGGCTTCCCCTCGGGTGCATCCCGCGCGCGGGTTTTCAGGGTTGAGTTTCATGCGAGGATTTCTTGCGGCCGCGCCCGCTCTGTACTCAAACATAGTTCAAATATAGTCAGGGGGCGTTTTTGCGAATCATCATTTTGGAGTCTGTTTGGGGTAATTTTTAGTTTTCGTCAAAAGTCCCCCTGTAGGGGGACACGCCCGACCTCAGGCCAGGTGCAACTTCGGGAGGAGGTAGGCTCACGGGGGGGAGGCGTCGACCCCCAATCGCCCACTCGTCGACGACAGGGGGCCCGATGGCCCACCCTGCCCGGGAGCGTGCGGTGTCGCTACGAAGGCCCACCGCCGATTTGCTGGCGATGTATTGCCGATTGCAACTCGGTGTTTCCTCCTCCCCCTGAGCTGCTCCCCCCCTAGCGTTGCCCCTCATCAGGGAGCTGCAGCTGGATAACAACGAGATAGGAGACCCTGGGGCGATCGCGATCGCAGAGAGCCTGGAGCCCAACCAGGTGCTGCAGCAGCTGTGGCTTCCCGAAAACCCGATCACCGAGGCGGCCATCATGAAGTTCGCAGAGTACCTCGAGGTCAACACGGGCATCCAGAATTTGGGCTTGTCGTTCAACGGTGGCCCCGACAGCGCCTGCGTGGAGGCGCTGCGGAGGGCGAAGCGGAAGCGGCTGGAGCGCCAGAGAGTTCAGCGCAGGCTGGAGGGCGGCAACACAGATCCTGGCCAGGCCCATCCTCCGCCCAGGATCGGTGAGCATTGGACCGGCTGGGGGCCTGAGGTGCCCAAGCAATGGTTCCAGCATGCAGGAAGGGGGGCGAGGTTCGAGGTCGTGGGTTCGAGAAGGCTGTGGTTTTGACTTTTTCTTCACATCTGGGGGCCATGGGACCGTCCAAAGCGGATGCGGGGCGGGGTCCGATCTGGAGCGGATTTGCCATCCCCCTCCGCTCTTGACCGATGTTCTCGAAGCCCATCTCCTCCTCCTCCCTCCTCCTCCTCCTCCCTCCTCCTCCTCTCCTCCTCTTCCTCCTCCTCCTCCTCCTCCTCCTCCTCCTCCTCCTCCTCCTCCTCCTCCTCCTCCTCCCCCTCCCCCTCCCCCTCCTCCTCCCCCTCACCCTCCCCCTCCCCCTCCCCCTCCGCCTCCTCCAGTTCAGACCCCCCGGGCCGCCTCCAGGGCGAGTGCCCCCTCTCCCAGCGAGGGGGGGGCCTGTGCACCAGGATATTCTGGGGCCCAGGGTTGGTCCGGCCAGCCTCGGTGCAGGCGCACACGGCTCGAGTAGGGGATGTGTTACAGACTTGGTTTACCCCCAGATGGCTTTGCTCGCCGAGTCTACGAACAAAAACGTAGAATGGGCCACACATGTACGAACATTCTACGTCATTGTCGTGACCTCGACGAGAAAACCAATGTAGGGGTCAGTCAATTATGTTGTCGAGCCTCTAGTCGAACGGTTGACGCCCTCCGACCAGGCCGGACGACTGGAGCGTGCCAGCTCCGGCGAAGATGTCCTCCAGGTCGGCTGCGCAGGTCAGGGGCAACGATCAGGGGGGACAGGCGTACAGTAGGTTCGCGTCGTGTCGACCGGTGGCGACCCCGCCGTTGGCGTTCAAGGTTGAACGCCGTTGGCGACCCAGCATCGGTGGGTGTTGAACGATCTTACGTTTCGGAAGCGGCCGATCATTCAAGGCTGAACGATCCGCGCGATGTCAGGAACCAACGCCAGGGTCGACACGACACGAACCTGCAGTAAGGGGGGGGGCTGCGGTCAGAGAGGTGGGGAGTCGGAGGTTCGAGGTTCGAGGCTTTCGGGCAGTTCACGTCGCTTCGCGGCGGCCTTTCAGCCTCGGGATGCTCGCCAGCGGTCGCGCCTCGTCGAGGGCGTTGCGGGGGGGGGGGGGCTGGGGTCCCCCCGCGCGGCCGCCAGGGAGCAGATCCATGGCCCGAAAGCCGCGGGGCAGAGGCAGAGGGGGGCCGGGCTCAAGGGGGGAGGCATCGACCCCCGATCGCCCACTGATCGCCGATAGGGGCCCGAGAGCTCCAGATGGGGAACTGGAGCAAATAATTGCACTACCGAGGGCGAGGAGGAGGAGGAGGAGGAGGAGGAGGAAGAGGGATGGAGGAGGACGCATGGAGGAACAGGGCCTCGACCTCGAGTTCCAGCATCACGGGGGAACCGAGACAACCGGTCTTCACCCTAGGCTTGGGCGTGGCAGGGCCCGCTCCGGGGCCTGGGTCGCCAGGGAGCTGTCCCGCGGGGGAAGATTGGGTCCTCCGGGAGGGATCGAGCAGTGACTGGATTAGACCTAAGAGTGACCCTTCGCCGGAGTGACCTTTGGTGCGGGCACAGATGGGTCCCCAGATGGTTGAGAACGAAGCAGCGGCAGCTGCTTGCGCGCCCAGGTTTGGTCCCCCGCGGCCCCCCAAAAGCCGCGCACCAAAGGTCACTCTTACCCAGGGTCACTCTTACGTATAGCCGAGTGACGGGTTGATTTTCATTCCCAGGAGTTTTCCAGGGTCGGGGGCGACGTGGCGGGGGTTGCGGGCGGTGTACGCATGCCTGCTTTTCCGTTCTCTGGGGGAGACGCCAAAACATGTGTACTCCAGATTTCGTAATAAAGACAAGCCATTTCAGACCTCCTCCGTGGGAGAACCCTCCAAGACATCGTCCCCAGACCCCCCAGGCCCTCCAAGATAGCCTGGAAGAGACCCCCCCCCCGAAATGAGACCCCCCTCCCTTTCTTACGAAATCTGGTGCACACCCGGATCCCGTGCACAGGAGGATCCGCTCTCCCGTGCGAGCTTCCGTGCGGGGCCGGACACGGCGCCGCGGTGCATACACCTTAGGCGATGCTCAAGAAAACCCAAGTTTTCGGCCAGAGTCTCGAGTATTCTTAATTTTTCAATGTAAATCCCAAGATTTGAATAGAAATGTTGGGTTTTTTAGTCAAGTTCTGAGACTATGAATTTCTTAACCCATGATTTCTTAAGCATTTCGCAGGGTGTATAGAGAGTTCGGCTCCTTCCCGGCCTGCCCATGGGAGCGTGCGGCTTCGCCGCCGGAGGCCCAGCGTCGATCCGCCGGCGAGCGTGCCGCGGATGCCAGGTCGACGTGCCGGCCCCCCAGTCCCCCCCCCCCCCCGATCGCTGCCCCCTCGGCAGGGAGACGAGGCGGCCGGGAGCCCGCGCAGCTCGCGCCTCTCGTCCCGCTCCGCCTTCGACGCCGCCATCGGGTCGGCCCGCGGGGCCGCCGCGGAGGCCGGCGCGGGCGCGTTCCTGGGCCTGGACCAGATGCCGGCGGACGTGTCCGAGGCCGTCATCGGCGAGATACACGAGCTGGAGGCCAGCCTCCTCCTCCTCCTCCTCCTCCTCCTCGCGACTGGATGTGAGGGTGACCTTCCGCCGGAGTGACCTCGGGTGCGGGCCCACTGGGGCCCCCCGATCGTTGAGGTTCCCATGCCATCGCATCGGCTTGCGCGCTCGTGTGTTGGCTGCCCCGCGGCCCCTCAAAACGCCGCGCACCCAAGGTCGCTCTGACCCAGGGTCACTCTTGCGTGCAGTCGATCCTCCTCGTCCTCGTCCTTCTCGGCGGCACGCCCCGCTTGTGGGGCGGCTCCTGGCATGAGCGCATCCCGCCCACAGGGCGACTTGACCGGCAGCACGCCTCGGAAGGTCGCCCAGGTCCTGCTTTCGAGTGCCCTGTTGCTCGGTGCGGGTCTGCACTCGCAGAGGGCCACGCAGCCTCGCATGGCAGTGCGCAGGGTCCCAGGTTCTCGCTCGCTCGCTCCTCCTCCTCCTCTCCCCCTCTCGCCCGAGGCCCGAGCCCGGGGCCACTGCGGGGTTCTGCCTCTGTCGCTACCGGAGTTTCGTCGCTCGCCCTGCCCTCAGTGTTCCTTAGTTCTCCCTCGTCCCTGGGACATCTGGCACCGAAGCAGTAACAAGACAAGAGCTGGAGGCCGACCTGAACAACCGGCTGCTGGTCTGGGAGCTGCCCCAGCAGAGTGCGCGCACGCCGCGCTCCAGCCGCGCGTTTGCGCCCGCGGTGACGGAGGGAGACTCCGACTCCAGCGGCGCGCCCAAGGTGGAGGAGGGAGATTCCGATTCCAGCGGCGGCGGTGACATCCAGGGCTGCGCCGGCGTTTTCGTCGACAGCGACTCAGATGGTGGCAACTGACCGCGGCCGACCCCGAGGACGCGGCGCGACGTGAGGTTATGTGGAGGGGCGGGGGGCGATGCGGGGGGCGATGCGGGGGGACGGAGAGGGGAAGGGGGCAGGACGAGACAGGAGAAAGGCGGAGCGGGATGAGGAAGGAGGAGCAGCAGCAGGAGCAGGATCCAAAGCAAGCTCGGGAGCGAGGGAGGGCGCTCGTTGTCCAGCCCCATCCAGGGGGGCGACTCGCTCCAGGCGCGCCGCGCACGAGCGCACTGTCTGGTGTGGCAGGTTCGAGCGAGAGCGCGGCCCCAGAGTGTTGGGACGCCTCCGACGGGGGGCGTCTCTGGGATGCAGCAGGAGAGGGGGGGGGGGGGAAGACGCAGGAAGCAGCTGGATGGTACGACCCTGAAGGCCGACGTTGCAAAACAGATGCCGCAGCGCAGAAAATCACGCCTGGAGCCCCAGACCGCATCTTTGTGCGTCATTTTTCGAGCCGGATCGATCTGTGAGCGTCCCGGGGCCCGAAAACTGAGCGACACCGCCCGTTGTGAAAACAGTGCGGCGCCAGGATTCCAGGGTTGGACGGGGGGGCGGGGGGCGAGGGAGCGGGAGGCCTTTGCAGGACCGCGCGGGCAAGGCCGTGAGGGTGCAGAGAGCCCCATCGGAGGGCCCCGCGGGGTGGCGGCGTGGCCTGTGCCGCCCCTGCCCGAGGGCAGAGGCAGAGGGGGGGGCGGGCGGGGCGGGGGCGGCCCGCCGCCCGCCGGCCTCTCTCTGGCAGCCCGCCCGCCTCCGCTCCGCTCGGCCCGCCCGTGAGGTTGCGCCCGCCTGCCTAACACTTGGGGCCCGCCTCGGCCTCCTCCTCCTCCTCCTCCTCGTCCCCCTCCTCCTCCTCCGCCTCCTCCTCCTCCTCCCTCCTCCTCCTTCTCCTCCTCCTCCTTTCCTCCATCCTCCTCCTCCTCCTCTCCCCCCTCATCCTCCCCCTCCCCCTCCTCCTCCGCCTCCTCCTCCTCCTCCTCTCTTCCTCCTCTCTCTCGTACCACCTCCTCCTCCTCCCTGCGCCTCCCCCTCTTTTCCTCCTCCTTCTCCTCCTCTCCTCCTCCTCCTCTCTCTCGCACCACCTCCACCTCCTCCTCCGCCTCCCCCTCCCCCTCCTCCTCCTCCTCCTCCTCCTTCTCCTCCTCCTCCTCCGCCTCCAATCTTTCTCCTTATAGATAACTCCTCACTGCCGCACCCCGAGGCCAGTTATTTGGGCGGGCCGGGCGTTTCGCCTGAGACTTCCTCACCACTTATGGTTCTGAAGGCTTCACAGATGGAGGGCGGGTCGTTTTAACATGTGGCTCTCGCCTTAGCGCCGCGCACAATCGCCTCAAACAAATACAAGATTGTCACGGATTCAGGGCGGGCCGTTTTCAACATGTGGTTCTCGCCTTAGCGCCGCGCACATTCGTTTCAAACATTTGCACGGGTTTCACGGATTAGGGCGGGTTGTTTTCAACATGTGGTTCTCGCCTTAGCGCCGCGCACATTCGTTTCAAACATTTGCAAGAGATTCACGGATCAAGGGTGGTTTGTTTTCAACATGTAATTCTCGCCTTAGCGCCGCGCACATTCGTTTTAGAAATGTGCAAGAGTTTCACGGATTGAGGGCGGTTCCTTGTCAAAATGTGGTTCTCGCTGCACCGCCGCGCACATTCGTTTTAAACAGTTGTAAAAGTTTTACGGATCGAGGACGGTTCCTGTTCAAAATGTGGTTCTCGCCTTAGCGCCGCGCGCATTCGTTTTACAACATTGCAAGAGTTTCAGGAATTCCCATGATCAGGGTTATGCTGGTGCAACAATTGTGTTGGTTCGCTAAGTTGAAGTCCCCAAAAGGGCGTTCTGGCGCGATTCTGGATCGTCAAGACGCAGCAGTCAGGTTGATACGTGGCGCTGAGATCCCGAGAACAATCTTCTGGCACGCTTCAGAGTCTTCAAACGGTTGTCTTCCGGCGAGGCAGTTCCCTCAATGGACATGCGGAGTTGTAGGGGCCCATGAGGAGGGAGCTTGAAGGGAGGGTTAATTCCAACATCGTTGATGACTCTTGGGTCTCCACTGCTCCTCCTCCTCCCCCTCCTCACTCCTCCTCCTCGCTCCCACCTCCTCCTCCTCCGCCTCCCCTCCGCCCGCGAGCTGGCGTCCGGCGGCGCCCGCGCGCCGTCGGGGACGGGCCGAGCCCGCCGGCCCGGGAGGGTGCGTCCGTGCACTCGCCGGCGGTCATGGTAAGTCGGGCGTGTCCATCTACAGTTATGATGTTCCAACCTACGTTAGCCTTGATCACCGGAAAGAATTTCGAGCACCAGAAAAATATTGAAACTCACGGGTTTTCACGTGAGACAGTCGTCCGACACTGTTTCGACACTGTTTCGACATTCTCACGACACTTTTTTTCCGGGTGCTCGAAGTTATTTCTGGGATGTGGTCCTTAAGTGCGATGGTAGCCACATAACTATACAGGAGGAATATTCAAATAGTAAGAACAGATGTCTGGGCACAAATTGTCATTTTTTTCTTGTGACGATTTGGAAGTATGTTTCAAACATGTTTTGCTTTGCGCCCAAAATCCGCCTCTAGGGGGACATGCCCGACCTCATGGTGATGGGGCGGGTGGCTCACACGCGGGGGGGGGGAGTGACGGGAAGGGCCCCAGAGGGGTACTCTATAGGGCCCCTCTTGGGGCACCCACTAGCTCCCAAAGGACCCCGCAGTGGCCCTCGGAGGGCGCTGCTGCCCCCCATGTTGGCCCCCCCCCCCCCCATTGCCACCCGCGCGCGCGGCAAGAGGAGGAGGAGGAGGAGGAGGAGGAGGAGGAGGAGGAGGAGGAGGAGGAGGAGGAGGAGGAGGAGGAGGAGAGGCAGAGGAGGAGGAGGGGAGGAGGAGGAGGAGGAGGAGGAGGAGGAGGAGGAGGAGGAGGAGGAGGAGGAGGAGGAGGAGGAGGAGGAGGAGGAGGAGGTGGCGCGCGCGGGGCCGCCGAGCCGCTGCCGGGGCGGCCAGGACAGCGCGCGGCGCCCCCGCCGGCGGCGCCCCCGCCGGCGGCGCCTCGCCGACCCGGACTGACGCGCGCCCTTCCGCGCTCGTGCGGCACGGCTCCGGGGCTGATTTTTGTCGCTTCCTCCGATGTGATTCGACTTCGACGGCTTCTGATTCAGATTCGATTCGACTTCGGATTCCGATGTATCGCAGGTTGATAGACCTCCTACCCTGACACGTCGATTAAGGAATTGGCCGTTTTCGGTTCGCGAGAGGGCGCCGCGGCCGTCATTTTTGCGGGTCCAGGTCCATCGGTTTCGGTCCCAGGCCGTTTTCACTAAGGGGAGGTTTACTAAAGAGAGGTTTGTCCACCGCCGAGATGTGGGTTCCGATCTCTCAATGGAGGCATACCAACCTGCCGATTACCGCCGATTCGATTTTTCCCGACTCGGCTGCCGATGCCCGCCGATGCGATTCATGTCGAGCGCCGATCCGACTTGTCGATTCAATTCTGGGCTCTCCTGCGCCTCCGCGCGAGCCGCGTGCCATTTGCAACGTCGGGGGTGGACGGGCTCAGGGATCAGGACGATCGAAATGGGTGCGGGAAGAGTGGGCACAAAGACCGACAGCAGTTCCTCTTCATTTTGAACAAGACTCGCTGTCCGCGCCGCCGTTGACGTTGTCCACTGAAGACAAAAAGCGGCCTGTCCAACAGCGGCCGCTTTTGGTTTTGCACGGCATCTGTTGTTTGGCATTGCAACCATCTTTTCCGTATCCATTTCGGGCGTCCAAATTCAAGGTTTCTTTAGCGTGATTTGTAGAGCTTCCCCATTAGCGAAGTGGCGGAAGCTTAAGAGTAATTCCGCAGCGCCAGTTTTGGTAATTTTGGGGCGGTTGCAAATTATGTTCTCGACATCTGTACATTCGTTAGAGCTCTAGTATTTTTTCCGAACAACTAGGATATTATTCCCGCCCGCCATCTTGATCTCAGGTCCATCGAGTGGATATTACTATAAAAAATAAACACCCGGGCGGGTGGAGGTCTCGAGGCTCATGCTGGCAGTGATGCTGGTTTTCTCTCCAGGTCGAGCTGTAGGCAAGCTACGGAGCTGACGTGCACACCATTCGACAGGGAGTGCTCACAAGCTCCATTCCCAAGTATCGGGACGCCTGACATCAGTCTGCTACCAGAGCTGCGACTGAAAAAACTGTTCGCGCTCTGCAACCGTTTGAGAGACGATGTTGGTGTTCTCTACTGAACTCGAGCTGTGGGCGAGCGACGGAGCTGAAATGCGCACCATTCGGCAGGAAATGAGCAGGCGCGCTACTCTGGAGTATGGAGACGCCTGGAATCAGTCTGCTGCCAGAGCTGCGACTGACAAGCTACTCGCACTGGGCAACGTTTTGAGTAATGCTGATGGTTTTCTCTACTTAACTCGAGCTGTAGGCGAGCTACGGAGCTGAGATGCGCACTATTCGACAGATAAAGATCAGGAGGTCTAGTCAACAGTATCGAAACGCCTGAGATCGGTCTGCTGCCCGAGCTGCGACTGGACAACTATTCGCTTTCTCTACAAGTCGAGCTGTAGGCGAACTACGGTGCTGATATGCACACCGATCGACAGGAAATGCTCAGAAGCGCTAGTCTAAAGTATCGAGACGCCTCATATCGGTTTGCTACCAGAGTTGCGACTGAAAAACTATTCGCGCTCTGCAAGTGTTTGAGAGACGGTGTTGGGTTTCTCTACTTGCATCGAGCTGTGGGCAAGATACGGAGCTGGAAAGCAAACCATTCGACAGAGAATGATCAGGAGCGCTAGTCTGAAGTATCGAGACGCCTGAGATCGCTCTGCCACCAGAGCTGCGACCGAACAACTATGTGGACTCGGCAAACAGCTACGGAGCTGTCAAACACATCATTCAATATGAAATGATTATGCTCTTCACGTGGCGAGAGCTTCTTCAGATTGACATACATTATCTAAACAACTGTTCAACTCGAGTCGTGTATATT